AGTATAAAATGTTAAATTACAAATAGACAATCAAATAGACAATCAATAGACAGTTCAATACACGTCATAAAAAACATTTTCAGTGCTCCCCTATTCAATTCCAGATGTTAAGATTTTAAGACCAAGATGGTGTTCTCAGTGGCATAGCTAGACACCCACAGCAGAGTGCTGTTCGTAAAATGGATCCTTGGACCAGGGGAAAGCACCAGCATTAGCAAAATGCACCTGCGCGATCCAGCCCCGTGGATGTGTCCTGCTCCTCAGAAGGAAAGCTAGATTGGAGTCCTGTAGCACCTTAGAGACCAATGAGATACTCAGGTCATAAGCTTTGAAGAGTCAAAGCTCCCTTCATCAGATGCAGGTAGGAACGGAGGTCCCTGCGCCGTTATATCCTCTTCTCACCTTCTGACTGGGATATAAGGGTGCAGGGATCTCCGTTACTTGTATCTGACGAAGGGACTCTTGAAAGCTCGTACCTCGAACATCTCCTTGGGTCCCTAAGGTGCTCCTGGACTCCAGTCTAGCTCTCCGACTGCAGACCCGGATAACTGTCCTCCTAAAACAATGCTCCAAGGAGAGGTCTTCCGATTTATTCTCGCACTGTCCCCCTGAGCCTGATAGGGGCCAACGGGTTCAAGGTCACCCAACAGAGTTCACAATTCAGCCAGAATTTGACCTCCTGTCGCCCAGCTCTGAGTCTAGCCCCTGGCCTCTCCATATGGACAACTTGAGATAAAGAAGAAGAGATTGGATTTCTACCCCGCCCTTCACTCGGAGTCTCAGAGCATCTGACAATCTCCTTTTCCTTCCCCTCCCCACAGCAGACACCCTGTGAGGCAGGCAGGGCTGAGAGAGCTCTTCCAGAACTACGGCTTCCCCAAGAACTGCTCTTGAGAGAACAGCTCCGAGAGAACTGTGGCTTGCCCGAGGGCACCCAGCTGGCTTCATGTGGAGGAGTGGGGGAATCGAACCCGGTTCTCCCCGATTTGAGTCTGTGCTACTGACCACTACACCAAACTGGCAAACTTGCTTTCTGCATTGCATTCTCCAGGCCTAGTGTAGGTTTCTGGGAGAGGATCAGGAACCCTGACTGTCTGTTGGAGCACCGTTGCAGCCAGCATCTCTTTAGCTCTGTGGCTCCCCCCCCCCTTCTGCCGCCCTCCCGAGATTCCTGCCACTGTGGTTGTGTCATTCTTCAGACACCTCTGCAAATTCCTCCGTCCCATCCCTTTCCCCTCCGGCTGGATTCCTTGCATAATTCTGAGCTCCGACGTGGAGCTAGCCGGGAGCAGCCCAGGGTGCCGAACCTGAGCCCCTTCCGGAGTTTCTCCTCATAAGCAGAGGGTCAGTCGGCCGGATCCTGCAGCTCTGACAGCAGCGCCTTCCCGTGGTGCAAAGAGCCTTCCTCTAAAGTAAAAGGAACCTTTTTTTGCCTGAGAGGAAAGCTCCTTGCAACAGGGGAAGGCATGAGAGCCAATTCGGTGTCGTGGTTAAGTGTGCTGACTCTAATCTGGGAGAACCAGGTTTGATTCCCCACTCCTCCACTTACACCTGCTGGATGACCTTGGGCAAGCCATAGTTCTGTCAGGGCAGTCCTTGAAAAGAGCAGTTTCTGTCAGAGCTCTCTCAGCCCCACCTACCTCACAGGGTGTCTGTTGTGGGGAGGGGAAGGGAAAGGAGTTTGTAAGCCGCTCTGAGACTCCAAGTGAAGGGCGGGGTATAAATCCAATCTCTTCTCTTCTTCATGTGCCATTAAGAGGAACTGGCCTGAGCTGAACACGCTTTTTACAGACGCTTCGGATCTTTCCCCAAACTTATCTCTTGCTGTTCCCAAAGCGACACACAAGTATAGCTGAGATGGCAGCGTGTGTACGTTACTCACAGATGGTCCCAGGTTTGGTCCATGGCCCCTCTTGGTTAAATGATAGCTGGTCTAGGGAAGAACCTTTCTCTTCTGAGACCCGTCAGGGCAGACAGTACTGGGCTAAGAGGGCATCCTGGAACATGTGTTAGGCTGCCTTCTACTGACTCAGACCCTCGGTCCATCAGGGTCAGTATTGTCTGCTCAGACTGGCAGCCGCTCTCCAGGGTCTCAGGCGGAGGTCTTTCCCATCACAGGGGTGGCCAGACTGCAGCTCGGGAGCCACATGCAGCTCTTTCACACAGTCTAATTTAATGTTAACAAGAAGGAAATTTGCATATTTTCCAATTATGTGCATATTTTCCAATTAAAAATGTGTGCGTAATGTTTGTTCATGCCTTGCGGCTCTCAAACATCTGACGTTTATTCTGTGCCTCTTAAGCAAGTGTGGCCACCCCTGATCTAGGGCCAGTTTGGTGTAGCGGTTAAGAGCAGTGGACTCTAATCTGGGAGAACCGGGTTTGATTCCCTACTCCTCTACATGCAGCCAGCTGGGTGACCTTAGGTCAGTCACAAGTTCTCTCAGAGCTGTTCTCTCAAGAGCAGTTCTCTCAGAGCTCGCTCAGACCCACCCACCTCACAGGGTGTCTGTTGTGGGGAGAGGAAGGGAAGACGATTGTAAGCCGCTCTGAGACTCCAAGTGAAGGGCAGGGTATAAATCCAACTCTTCTTCTTCCTACTTGGTGCTTTTAACTGGACATGCCAGGGATAGAACCTGGGGACCTTTGGCATGCCACGCAGACAGTCTACCACTGGGCCGTGGGCCCCTCTCCGAAATGTGCACTACATGAAGCTGCCTTATACTGAATCCGACCACTGTGAGCTGTCAAGGTCAGTATTGTCTACTCAAGACAGGCAGCGGCTCTTTGGAGTTCCAGGCAGAGATCTTTCACATCGCCTGCGGCATGATCTTTTTAACTGGAGTTGCTGGGGACTGAACGTGGGCCCTTCTGCATGCAGAATATCTTGGGTTCTGTGAAAGATCTTTCTGTCCTGGGCACACTGGACAGCTGCTGCAAGTCGGAGGAGATGGGGTGGGGCTAGATGGACCAGTGGCTTGACTCTGTATGAGGCAGCTTCTTATGTTCAGACCCTTGAAATCCCCCCACTGCCATTATGCTCATTGGGCAGGCACACTGGGTGGCAGGAAGAGGTTGGATTTCTGGGGTGGGTCATGGTTCGTTGAGAGAGCACATGTATTGTTTGCAGAGGATCCCAGGTCTGGGCAAATGAAGCAGAAGAAGAGATTGGATTTATACCCTGCCCTTCACTCAAGAGTCTCAGAGCGGCTTACAGTCTCCTTTCCCGTCCCCTCCTCAGAACAGACACCCTGTGAAGTTGATGGGGCTGAGAGAGCTCTTTCCAGAACTGCCCTTGAGAGAACAGCTCTGAGAGAACTTGTGACTGACCTAAGGTCACCCAGCTGGTTGCATGTGAAGGACTGGGGGACCCGGTTCTCCAGATTAGAGTCTGCTGCTCTTAACTATGGCTTGCCCAAGGTCATTCAACAGCTGCAAGTGGAGGTGTGGGGAATCAAACCCGGTTCTCCCAGATTAGAGTCCGCACACTTAACCACTACACCAAACTGTAGGTAAAAGGATCCGGGAAAGATCCTGCTCCCCTGTCGGCTGATAGGTGGTGATCCAAAACTGGATTGGTCCACTAACCTAAGAGCAAGTTGCGATGGTGGCATCAGTTCCAGTTTCTTAAATAAAGAGAAGTTCAGTTTTGAAACGGTTAGGTAAGAGAAGGCAGAGCCAAGAAGCGGAGGAGAGAAATAGACGTGCACAGTAAAAAAAAAATAGATCAAAATGGGTAGCCATGTTTGTCTGTCTGTAGACGAACGAAGTCTGCGATGGGGAGGAGCTTTCGCGAGTCACTGCTCACGGCTTCGGCTACGTTCTAGCGGTATCTGGAGCAGTGAGCAGTGACTCACAGGAAAGCTCCTGCCCCGCCCCCCATTTTGTTAGTCTTTAAGATGCTACCGAGTGGACTCTTGCTCTTTTCTGCAGTAAAAAAAATGGGGCCCTTGTTCGTTAGCTGGGGCCGGTGGACAATTGGGAAGGTGCTGCGGGCTGCTATTGTAATCAGGTCTAAATGTCATCTCTTTTCTCTCTCTCTCTCTCTCTCTCTCTCTCT